CTGATGTGACCCGCAGGGTACGACTTAATGAGCGAGAAATTCTGATTTCAAGCCATGGATAACCGTTTCGCTGCCATTAATGTCGCTGACCTGCCAACTATGTAAAGTATCATGCGAGATTGATTATAGTTTAGTGGGCCCCATCAGATTCTGAAAATACGTACCAAAGCGGTTGACAGATATGTGTTTTACTTTTCTGATTTCTAAAATCTTCCCGAGACTATCAAGAAAGAGTAAACTGACTCGCAGCCTTGTGCGTGTTAACGTTTTGGTTGTCAGACATCAGCAATATCAATGACGAGGTCCCCATGCCAGGTTGCCAAGAGTTATTAAAGGTTAATTTACAGTATCAGCCTGTCAGATCTGGAGATTTCACCGCCGTAACCTAATTATGTGTAGTGAAATCACGCAGCTATGAGCTAGAGTCACTGGACATGGCGTGGTGGGTAGTTCAGTACCCTTCTCTGCCAGACGAAAGTAGAGTGTGACCGCAATGTCACGTGAAGCCACTCGCTGATCTCTCGGCTTAAAGGTCGAGGGAGCAGACAGTCGTGACGAGCTGAAGTGACAAGCGAGTCTGTCGTTTTCCTTGGGAACGGTCTAAATGTTAGGAGGTGCAGATGTGCACCAGATGTTGGCAGTTTGCCTCGGGAAATAGCTTGCCAAATCAAATCGGCTCGACGAACAGAGGGGGAATTCCTCGTTTATTTACTGAGGGACAATGGTGGTCTTGGTAACATCCGTGTCTCCGGTCTCAGATAATAGATTGAAAGAAAACCTTGCCTTTGGCAATGAAATAGTAAATCTTGACGAAGTCACATTTTCACGTTGGAAGAGTTGTTAGGTGAATGTAGTCTATTCCAGCTGCCGACAGTCACACAAGCTGTCACTATGCCACACCGACCCTGACCTCCCGACATTCTCCAAACCATGGTTGGGAGTTGGTCGTGACCAAGGCCATCTGTAGTTGGTAGTTGATCGGCATCCTTGAGACAGCGTGCAGGATACCCAGGTGGCCATATAGGTCAATAGTCAATCATTAGGCTTCGAAGCTAAGGGTACACCCAAAGATCAACCATTTGGCAACTCTTTTGTTTGGTCTACGGTTTAAAGAGGTTTAACTTTAAGCCATTGCTCGGAAATTGGGATAAAGTTTCCTCCTCGCCAGATCTTTTGGAAAGCATCTATAAAATTGGTGGGGATAGTCTGGAAAAGAAAACAAAGGTTGCTTTCAAACATGTGCTTGTTATCTCTGAATTAAAGATTATATGGTTGTACCATGTTCACTGTTGCAAGTGATGATATGGCTCGAGCAGATTGTATTTGGTCGTTAGAGTGAAACAGAGCTCATTATCGTTATGTAATGTAAGGTACACCAGGCAAAAAGTCGTACATTTCTATCAAGAAGTAACCGGAGTGGGTTAATAAGGCATTCATTAGCGACTACTGCATTTTCTCCATCCCCAAATAGTCATCAAAATGATCCTTTAAACACGACTAGTCGCCATTGGAGTAACATGTACAGGAAGGTCTTCCTCTAACAGAAGGTTTGGGTTTCCTCATCAGTAGAATGTCGCTTCCCTAGAGTACCATTTCTCATCACCCATTTGTGAAATTAACGCACAACAATGAAAGGCCAGCATTCCGACCTATTGGTGCTCATTTCCATCAGTCGTTAGTTAAGGGCGCACCAATGCCCCGGGCAAATAAAATCTAGTTTTCTGAAAGAAAGCTGAAATTCAGTCAGCCGAGCAGGCAACACATGTGGAACCAAGATGGGCGTTGACATATGGCCTTCATTCCCACCCACACTGAACAGTCAGTAACCAAACTGTCCAGACCCAGCTGTACGGACGTACTAAAAACCAAGGGTTAAAAAGTCTAAGAAACCAGATGAAACCAGATGAATACAATGCACATGACCTCTCTAATGTTAAATATGGAGCCACATGGCAATGATGTAACTTATCAACGTTTTTTGTGTTTTCCCAGGGTGAGGCTGGTACTCCCGGTGCTGCTGGATCTCCAGGACCCATGGTGAGTAGCGTCACATTTACCGATTTAACCTCACTTACTGCCCCGTACAGTTACGTTAAGTGACCCTAAAATTCATTTGCTCAGTTTCTTCCAAAGGGAAAATTAACCCTCCCGCTTTCAAATTCTTCTTCCCTTTTTGCCGAATTCTACGATCCGTACCCCTGTAGGAATGCCTGGTAGAGGCTACCAAAGGCAGGATACAGTAATTAATAGTAGGCAGTTAATAAATGACAATATGTTTAATGATGAGTTGTATCTCGCTTGCCGCGGAGATCTGTCAGCAATCATGAAGAATTTTGTGCTATGAGACGAGGCTGTGGAGTAAGTGTGCGATGTTGTTGACTGCAGGGTCCCCGCGGTATGTCTGGAGAGCGTGGCCGACCCGGACCCACCGGTCCTCCCGGCCCTGCTGGTGCTGACGGACAGTCTGGTGCAAGCGGTCCTCCCGTGAGTATCTATTTATTTCATTGAAGTTGCAAAGGCAATAGATAAGCTGTATCATTTCTGTCGAGTGGACGATCGTGAAGCGTAGTGAAAATCAGTTGATATTCTCATTTTGTAGAAACTTTCCACGATAACAATGAAGCGTGTCGATGAGTCCTGCTTCCTGATATGAAATGTAAGAGTAAATAGTCAAGATTTTATTATGCTTCCATTGAATGACATCCAATAGCCTGGATAGCAGACTGTTGGTAAGGCCACTTCGACTCTGCGAAGCAGTCTGAAGGGCTATGAGGTAAAATGTTTTCAAGGTTGGTTCTGAGGGCAGTATACTTGCCCTGGCAATAGTCTTGACACCCAGGCTAGAACTGAACTGCCCACTGACATGCTGACTACCCATTGCAGGGCCCAACTGGACCTACTGGACCACCTGGCTTCCCCGGCCGTGCTGGTCTGAAGGGTGAGGCTGGTGCCGGTGGTGCTCGCGGTCCTCCTGGTGCCCAGGGAGAGCGTGGAGAGGCCGGTCCTCCTGGTCCATCTGGTATCGCCGGTCTGCAGGGTCCTGCTGGTATCGACGGTATCCCCGGTGCTAAGGGATCTGCTGTGAGTACAAACTTTGTTACGATAGACTTGATAATAAAATGCTGTCTGAGAAAACCTGCGAGAAACTTGACAATTTAGAAATTATTCGTCGTTTGTATAAAGTGACAAGTAGTCCGATTTCTCTGGCTATTTCTACAGAGTCGTATAATATTATCTCTTTGGTTCTTATACCATCTCTAGGGTGCTGCTGGTCCACAAGGACCTCCCGGCTTCCCCGGACCCCGTGGCCCACCCGGTAACGCTGGTAGCCCCGGCTCCCCTGGTGCCAAGGGACCACCCGGCGCCCCCGGTCTGCCCGGATTCAAGGGAGATGCTGGCCCCAAGGGTGCCAATGGTGAGCCCGGTGAGATCGGCGCACCTGGCCCTGCTGGTGAGGACGGTAAGAGGGGACCCCGCGGTGAGTCTGGACCACCTGGCCCACCTGGACCCAACGGAGAGAGGGTAAACCACAAGACGATCCACGATCTTATCTTTTTTTTAAATAGCGTCATCGAAAGTTAAAAGTGGCAGTTCAATCATATGCTGAAGGCGTAGGTAACTTTTTTTTAAATTTCGTAGTCGAAATGTACAATGTTCGGAACGAATTAAATTAAGTATCAGTACAATATATAGACAACCAATATTTGTATTGACTAGATTAGAAGCAAGAGTTGACATACAGAGCTTTCATTAAAGTGTGTAATTTTGGATTTGTTGGACATGTGTTGTTGTTTTGCAGGGAGGCCCCGGCCCACGTGGTTTCCCAGGCGCTGATGGTGCAGCCGGACCTAAGGTTTCCTACTTTTCTCGATTCTCTTGTTTGTTTTGTATTGTTTACAGTTGTTCTTCTTGTCTGTCTCGACTCTAGGGAGGTCCCGGTCCCGCTGGTTTCCCCGGTTCTGACGGAGGTCCCGGTCCTAAGGTCTCCCGCTTACGCTCATCCTCAAAATGCATCCCAAAATTAATAAATATAAAAGATACGAGTATTTAAAGGCATGCCTTCATCGTAAAACACTTCACTGAATTACTGCATGACGATTATGTCAAAACGCCACTGTTGATAAAATTTCACAGTACTGTAAATGGCATGAGGGATGCTTGCTTGCACAGATTGCACGACGGAACGTATGATGAAGGTGGACGTTGTAATGTAGCGTCCCTCAAATGACTTGAAGCAACTTTCTACACGTATGCTAAACGTAATGCCGATCCAAGAGCATGATTTTTTTAAAAGCTTGCTTGTTGAGAAAAAAGGTTACCTGCTGATTCCCAAGTGATAATATCCATTGTCGCTTTGCATATCTCACGTCTGGAAAGGGAAGAAAACGTGTTTTTGTACAATTCACTTGAGGAGGATTCAGGGTCCGAAATACTAAATACTCACTCTCGCCGCGCAAGTCATGGTTGTCGGCATTTGACTTGCTTTCTAAAATTAACAGTCGATGTTGACGGCAACCAAGAATATATTGATGGGCAACCTATCTTTTGACTAGTGGGCAGCCTGAAAAAAAGTATTTCGAACCCTGGGATTAGAGTGAGTTATACAACCTCGTCGTTTTCTTGTCTTCACACTTGTGAGAATCTTACGTGACAATGTAAAATTATTACGGGATCGAAGACATGTGCAGACCACTCCGGCTTTAGCTCTCTTCAACCAGGTTATCTCACTGTGGTCATTACGTCACACATCCATGAGAATACACTGTTTAAACTGCATCCAATCAGATCCTTACGCCATGCATGTTTTATAAAGATTCATTCCAACTACGAAACATAACGTCATACACGTTCAACGCCTGCCATTACGCATATATAGGGATACAAGTACTGGAGTACGTCATGCATATGCGAAAACTTGCTACCATGCCAACAGTGCAACAATAAAAGCCATGCCATCATACCATAGCATTTTTATCGGACCATATCCTACATATGAAGGAGCCCGTGCTGCTTGGAGATGGACCAGACGCAACATACCTCCACTTTTCCAATGTTGTCTTTCCTCCGTCCACTTTAAATATATCTATCATATCTTTCATCTTTCACTTCCGTTTTTGTCATTTTTCATGTTCATAGTTTAAATGCATGGAAAATTTAATGTCACATGTCATATTTTCATATATATCCATATTCATATATATCATATTTATTTTTTTATGTCATAGTATCGGAAATCTCTTATGATATTCCGACATCATGACTGATGTTCCAGACCTTGGCCAAATCTTGAACTCTCTTTTGGTGGTCCCAGCCAAACTGAATCTCTTCTTTCTCAAACAAGGGGGATTTTTCTGTTCATATTCATCTAAAGATGATAGGGACGGTTCTTGCCTTGGTCAGAGTCTGGTTCCATGCCGCGATTTGCTCTAATGTGCTCCATGCCCATCATACCATTTGCCATGCATCACAACCATTGTCTTCACCACAAACAGGGTGCACCTGGAGCAAGAGGACCGCCCGGAGGTGAAGGCCAGAAGGGTGCTGCCGTAAGTGGTCTCAGTATGGTCTAAGATCCCCGTCTAGTAGTGAACGAATGTTCAAAGGATGTTTTGGTTGATTTTTCACCAACCAATAGGGTGAAGCTGGTGCTCGTGGTCCACCCGGTGCTCAGGGCGGTCCTGGCCCGTCTGTAAGTACTGAGATGCCGCCATCCGTGTGGGGCGTCCTCCTCACATACAGCAGGCAACGCCGCCAACGGATGCACATGTTTCAATGCCGTTAAATTTATAGGTTTCAAACTTGAATCGCAATCTGTAAAAAGAAAGTAAACGTTTTAACCGGCCATGTAAAAGTAACTATTTGCCCTTAATGTTTTGCTATGTTAAGATAATGTGATAAGCTGTTGTGATGTATTTATGATGTACAGTGATGTCTTCGATGATGCGGGTCTATATGTTATCCTTGATGTTATCTTAAAAACAGTACGTAAGGTTTTTACAGTCAAATACACAGTCCTTCGATTTAGTTATGTTAACGTACGATTATTTACCTGCTTTTTTTGCACTTTGTTCATTTTGTTTATTCGTCGCAATTACGATGTATGAGGTACAAATCTCAGAATGATTTGTCTGTAGAACTGTTTATATGTGATTGGCATTTGACAAAGACGTTGAAATGTTGACGACGATTTTGCTTCCAACGACTAAACATGACCGGTGTTACCGACTTAGGGCGAGCCGGGCAGGCCTGGTGAGCAGGGCTTACCCGGACCTAGAGTAAGTGAAGGCTTCTTTGTTTACCTGCACGTTCTCTCCTACTGACTGTGTGTCGAAATGCATGTATTGTTTTAGGGAGAGCCTGGTAGGCCAGGAGAACAGGGTCTCCCTGGTCCCACGGTAAGTACATGTACGTCACTTGCGTCCTGCCGCGACGCTAACCCATTAATGGTGACGCAGCGGAGACCAAGCAAACCCCACCCCTGACAGGCTCTTAAGTGACATTGGACATAATCGGACTACTAGTACTACAGCATTTCTCTCTATGTAACACATAAGAAGGTTCCTTCGCTTAATTACTATATAATGTATTCTTCTGGATAACTTTAAGGTAACAACATGTTAAGACGCTTGATAAAGATGCTGTTTGTAACATAAGAAATGCCTTATGGTAGACATTGAACGGACCTTATGCTTCTCCCAGGCATCGTAGAAAGATGATTTGCTTATTTTGAATTATAGTTACATTAATCTTAATAAGTGCTAACTAACTCAATCGTGTCAAAATGCTTTTTTATTATCAAATTAAGGTAATAAGATTGAAGAATTGAAATGACCTGTTTCGATTTTGAACCCATGGTAGGGTCTGACTGGACGTCCTGGCGCTGACGGCAAGACTGGAGCAACTGGACCCAACGTAAGTATACTGCCGCCTCACGTTCTTTCATCTACCTATTGTTTATTGTTTGTTTGTACATAAAACACGGCAAGTCAACTTTAAACACAGTATCATACATAGTAAATAAAATGAAACCTTACCTTAGACCTTAGTTCCTCCTGCACCTAGTTGCATCGGTCGACTTGCAGACTTAACAGTACTCCTCCATAGGTTTCTGGTGGAAAGATGAAACAAAAGTAAAAAAACATCGTTACATTCGATACCTTACGATTCATTTGTTATAGTAAGTTCTCAGTTGAGTTTCCGTCACGAATCCAGCCCATTAGAATTGCACGTATGCTAGCTGTAATGATGATAATGATGATGGTAACAAGGCACCCTGTCTACCCCCCAGGGACCACCCGGAGAGGACGGTCGCCCCGGACCCCCTGGCCCACAAGGTGCTCGTGGTCTCCCCGGAGTCATGGGCTTCCCCGGACCCAAGGGCGCCGGCGGAGAGGCTGGCAAGGACGGCAAGGACGGAGAGGCTGGTTCTCAGGGACCAAGGGTAAGGCAATATGCCCACTCACCATCTAGAAGATACTACATGTAGTACTAAAGTAGTAGATGTAAATCTTCAGTTCTTGCTCAATCTTCCCAGGTGGGTTCTACTTTGAAGTTTCTGTACTCTTTACTTGGTAGTCGTAATCTGTTCAATCTTTGCCAGCACTTTGGACTTGTTTGTAACATTTCACTTCTTCTCGGCCGACAGGGAGAGGCCGGTAAGGACGGAGAGATCGGACCGGCTGGACCCCCCGGACCCGTCGGTGAGGCTGGAGAGCGTGGAGAGCCCGGCCCGACCGGACCTCCTGGATTCCAAGTACGTCATTCAGAAGTGTACAACACTTGCAAACGCGTTATCCAGTTATGAATGGACTATGGTTTCACACGATCTGGCGCAAAGTTATAATGGGAAATCTTCCACCTGGCTTTAGCTGCATTATCCTGTTGACATAGTGTTCTACAAAGCACCAATGCAATCTCGATGATGCTTAACGTGACATAAATGTAACCGTGAGTTTTCTTCCCGTGTTGCTATAGGGAATGCCCGGCCCTGCTGGACCACCTGGCGAGGGTGGTAAGAACGGAGACCCTGGTACCCCTGGAGAGGCCGGACCCCCCGGACAATCTGGCCCACGCGTGAGTACTCCCCCCCCCCCACCCCCACCTTCCTCCCTGCCATCCCATCCGACCATTCCCCACCCGACCAGTGAGGTGACATGAGAAAGACGAAGGCTTCCATTCTTAGCAGAATTTTAAACCTCGTCTGTTCTTGTTGCCCTTTCCTCAATGCACTGATGTATAGTCGTAAGCAGTTCTGTTATGCTCTATGGTTATTCAGCTGCATACCATTTCCTAGCTGTACATGTGGATCATAATTTTCCATCTTGCAATTTCTTGCCTTAGTTGTTTAGTCCATCTTGCAATTTCTTGCCGTAGTTATGTAGTCCTAAGCTTCTTTAAGCCTTAAATATTCTGCACGCCATTTCCTGCTGTAGATCGTAATTTTCTACCTTACTGTAGTTCTAGTCCCAAGCTTTGTTATGCCGTAGATATTCTGCATTCATTTCCTTGCTGTAGATCGTAATTTTCCATCTTGTAGTTTCTTGCCGTAGTTGTAAAGTACTTATGTGCACAGACATACCAGCTGCCATCAACATAACTCACGCGTCATCAGAGGCCCCGCATTTTGCTGCGTCTAGCGATGCATGATGCGACACGACATCAGACAAAAACACCAAGTATCATTTACATCACCCAAATGCTCTCTACCAAGCTACCACGACAAGAAAAGTCATGAACGAAGCATTTGCACAACGTCCCATGCTACTCTTTGGTGGAAAATCGCCAGCATTAAAGAAACAAGGAACATGCAACCCGACATCGCTGCATTTCATTCCAAACACAAAATTCCCTTCTGCAATTCCACCCACCAAACTTTTGAAGCCGTTGAATTTGAACTTTCGCTCGATTATTTTCGATTTCCGCACTAAACCGACAAAGCAATCGACGGTGTTCTGGCCTGTTCTGTCCGCCGGTTTGACTACTATAGGGCGAGCGTGGAGAGCCAGGCCAACGTGGAGGCGTCGGCCCCGCCGGCCCACCCGGTTCCCGTGGATCCGCTGGTCCGCAGGTTCTGATGGTGCCCCGGTATGTCTCCATTCCTCTATGCATTGTTAGCTAATGTCATAACCGAACATCGTGCCTTTTTAGGGAGAGCGAGGTTTCCCCGGAGAGCGTGGTCAGGCTGGCCCAGCTGGGGCGCCAGGCCCACGTGGTCCCAACGGTCCCGCTGGTAGTGACGGTGCTGCGGTAGGTTACCCCGTCTCTCACCGTCATGACTGCATTACAGGTGCCGGACTGAAGCCTGTCTCCACCGGGAGAAGTCCTTATTTCTAGAGATATACATTAGAGATATACAGAGTTTACCAGCACGAAGATAGACGTGTATGCTGCATACCGTATGATCTGTTCTACACGAAGTTACTTGTATAAGTTCTATAGTCTATAATCCGTGGTTGCAATGAGGTTATTCTGTATATGTATATGTATATGTACATGTATTCCACATTCCTTACTTAAACTCTACGTGGAACCTTTCTGATGACCGTACCTGGATGTCTATAGGGAGCTCCCGGTGAGAAGGGACCGCCCGGCGGAGTTGGACCCCCCGGTCTTCAGGGTATGCCCGGTGCTCAGGGATCTCCTGGTGTTGGTGGCGCAAAGGGTGACCGTGTACGTTTTCCTTACATTTTTCCTTACTAAATGAAATGCCGAGAGAGTAACTTTAAGACTTCATAAGAGACACTTTTTAACTACCAAGAAGAGCCGAAGTCTTGTGAGATAGGGTTATAACAGTAAACTTAACCAACAGAACGAAGTATCATATTTAGTGTCCTGCCCTTGGTATTTTGTGGAATGCATCACGTGTTTCGCTTGGAATTCTTGATACCAGCAGCTACATATCGGATAGCGTCTTCTAGTTTCTTGTTCGTTCTGTCCAATAAAACCTGTCTGTTTCTAAAATGTTATTCAGACTTAGATCAATGCGCAACTGTAACTGGAAGGTACTGGCTACATGGTCGTCGCAGGATGATAGCATTTAGAGTAGACCAGTAGGAAAGCCAGTACATGATCGTCGCAGGATGATAGCATTTAGAGTAGACCAGTAAGAAAAAATACGGACTTGCTAGCAGTAACGACATGAACAAGTGTACCGATGATGATGTCGTATATCTCATTCCAGGGTGACTCCGGTGGACGTGGTCCTGAGGGTGCTCCTGGCAAGGAAGGTGCACGTGTAAGTAGATCTTTCATACACTTATTCAATCAAAGATGCTTGCAAAACCTCGTAAATTGTACATCAATCTGTTCTAAGGAGGTCCTTAAGTAGTAACGACTAAACACTTATGCGATGTGCTCCAAATGCACACTGAGAGTGCTGTGTGGATATATATGGAGATGATCTTACTAAAGGACTACACCTTCACTTCTTGTCCCCAGGGTCCTCCCGGCCCTGTAGGCCCAATGGGTCCCTCAGGTGCTAACGGCGACAAGGGTGACCAGGGCGCAGCCGGTCCCATCGGTGCAACTGGTTCTCGTGGTGCTCCCGGCGAGCGTGGACAGCCTGGACCCGCCGGCCCCGCTGGATTCCCTGGCCCACCTGTAAGTCTTCCTCTCGGTGTTCTCTCTACCCGTACTCTGTAAGAAAGTATGTAGTAGAGAGAAGTCATTCCCCAAGTTAACTGAGTAAGACATCTGGAGTCGCATTCATTCAGCCTGCCACGACCGGTTTTGCCCTGTGGGCTTCTTCCTACGGAAGGTTGATATTCCTACTCTCTAATAAAGATACATCAGTAATACACGATCACACATTATCTTAAACCAACAAATTTTGTTTGAGCTGTGAAGATCACGTCAAAGTTTCTCACTGTGGTGAAGAAGAGCCATGAATTGACATCGTTGGAAGACGTTTTATGTTATGTTAAATAATACGTTATGTTATATATTTATGAATTCATATTATATGACCATGGCTGCCCGACTAGCTAAGTAAGGGTGAACCCTGAGACTAACGCTTTGTGTTCCCATGCAGGGTAACGATGGTGCCCCTGGTGAGAAGGGTGAGGCTGGTGATGCTGGACCTAAGGGTGATGGTGGTGCTCCTGGTGCCCAGGGTGCTGCTGGACCCGTCGGACCTCCTGTAGGTGTTCACTTTCTATCGGGACTTTTGATCAAGCGTAGGGACTTGTGAGGATTAAGACTTTCTGTATATGGATGGTGACAAAAAGTGCATTTTGTAGATTTCGATTGATAACACTTGACGTCTGAAATCCATACAGTAATGTCTGCTTTGAAACCACTTCTGGCCCTGTATCTTTAAGTCCACGTACACAAGGATAGCTGTTGTTCAACAAGGATAGCTGTCAATCAAGGCGTATGCATCTGATGTATATCAGCAAGGTGTTGTAGACACCATTCAATGTACGTCTCTTATTTGTTAATATAGTCATCTCACAAAGAAGCTTTGATATGGAGTTCCACCGTAGTTTATCATATTTCAAATTGGTTTTGGATTAACATGTCACACTGCCTTGCTTTCCCCCTGTAGGGACCTTCTGGTGTTCCTGGCAGGAAGGGTGCTCGTGGTGAGAAGGGACCGGACGGCGCTGTTGGCTTCCCCGGTGCCCCTGGCCGCGTCGGACCCCCCGGCCCAACTGGACCTTCCGGTAACGCTGGTACACCTGGTAGCCCTGGTAAGGATGGTGAGAAGGGTATCCGTGGAGAGCCTGGTCAGGCTGGCCGCCCTGGTGACTCTGGTCCACCCGGCCCACCTGGTCCCGAGGGCTCCAAGGGTGACGTCGGCTCTGATGGTCCCGGCGGTCCACCTGGACCTCCCGGTCCCCAAGGTCTTGCTGGATCAAGGGGTATCGTTGTAAGTTACATCAATCCTACCTCCTTACATAATCTACTCAGTTTGGTGAATGATTGAATGGCAAAGTTTTTTGTTCTCAACCACCTGTTAAACAAGAGCTGACGTTTCAATGATCGTCTTTCATCTTCATCAGGGCTTTGGAGCTAGATGTTACTGCTAACAATGCATTCCCAAACGTAATGGCCTATACAAACAGACGGTGAAGAAAGAGTTTGTTTTCTGTAGGGTCTGCCCGGAACTCGTGGTGAGCGTGGTTTCCCTGGCCCACCTGGTGCTGCTGGAGAGCCCGGCAAGCCTGGTAACGCTGGACCGTCTGGAGATCGCGGCAACCCCGGACCTCCTGGCCCGCAGGGCATGATGGGTCCACCTGGCGAAGCTGGTCCTGAGGTAACGTTGTCACGGCCGTTTTCATGGGACTGATTTGCAAGTTCTTTCGTCCTTTTAAAATCTTTTCGCTCATGCGCTGATCAAAGTGTAATCATTCCAAGATTTTATTTTCAATTATTTTCAAAAATTTTGTATAATTACAGTAAAACATGAAATGCATGCAATGCAATGTCATGCTTGCATCCCGTCGTTAATATTTTCAGGAATCCGTCGAAAGACATCTTCATTGTTAATCGTTCTAAGGGTAGTGTCCAAAATGGTCATATCCATATCTGTACTTGAAAGTGAAGAAACATGAGTTCTACTTGTAGCATAGGTACAGCTCATACAACTTTATAAGATACAATATAAACTTTGTCGCACGCTGTTAGTCGTGGTCAGGAACACTTGTAACATATTGTGCATAAAGAGTCTCCCCTGACGTTGCAGCAAGATGACCACTGTTTATCTGCACATTTTGCATGGATGTTTCAGTAAACGTTGTTGTGCTTCTGTAGGGTCCCACAGGAAACACCGGACCTCCTGGACTCCCCGGTGCTCAGGGCGAGAAGGTAACGTCTCTTGTGTTCACATGTCTGGATTTTCTGTTTTGTAGGGTCCCGCTGGTAACGATGGCGCTCCCGGCGCCGCAGGCAGACCGGGTGAAAAGGTAAAACCCACAAAACAAAACAAAAACAACAACAACAACAAAACACCCATTCTGCCATCTCATCCCATGTCATGTTGTCGTCTCCATTATGGCATGTTGGATAAAGTAAACAAATTTCAATTTAACCATATTTTTTAATTCGGATTTCGGATAAAACCCGCGCGATGTAAGATGCACTTCTCGAACTTTCATCCTGGCACAGCCAAGGGCACTTTCCACTTTCACTTTCATTCTCACCTATAGGTCGTACGCGTTCTGTTTAAAGTGATTGTGATGTAAAAATGTAAGTTTCGTGTTTAATGTCTTGTGCATTGCCTGACTAATGCTCCGGTGTAGACTTTAAATACGTGATAATATCAGTAACGGAATGACATTACTATAACACGATATAAACTCCATCTTAAGGACCATATTATCACTACCATAGTAACGGTATAGCACTACACACGTATCATACATTTAGTACTTTATTTTTGTTGTGTAAAATGTTGATAACTAATGCACGTTACCTTTGTTGAACGTTTACTACTAATGCATGCTAGTTTTGTTACGTAACGTTTTTTGTTGACGTTTATTAAGTTGTTAACGTTACTTTTGTTTCTTAAATTACGGTGTATTTAATCAATGTTGCTTTGTGATGACTTGTATGTTGTCTGCCATGATAGCTCGATGGATCTTCTAACAAGTTTTGTCCTTTTTTTCGTTGGTCTGACTGGCTATTCGAAGTATTTTTAATCTGTGTCCTTCGTTTTTGAAGAGCGTAGAACGTACATATTAATAGACTTTCACAACGCACGTTAACAGGCTTTTGTTGTTAGTGTAAATGTAAGATACTGGGAACGCACTGGTATTTTGTGTTGTCTAGTGCAGGATGCTGTTCTATCATATCGTTGACTTGTTTTTAACGTTCGTGTGACTGTAGTACCCTACTGGTCGTTTTGTTTCCGTCCATCGGTGTCGACATATATATAAGATAACAATCTACCAAATACGTCCCGTAAAAAGCATCTTTCTAGTTGAGGTCTACCATAGAAAAATGTTGACTTTTTCTAATTTTTACTTCTACTTGCTAGCTGACCTCTCAAATACTATTCTTGCGCGCCTCCTTTCCCTGAACTTTAAAGTTTCTTAGCTTGAAACGTTGTGACTTTTCGAGAGTTTTGAAACACGGCTGCCCGGACACCCGCGTGCCATCCGAGAGTCAAAGGAGCTCTGCCATCTTACCAAGATTTGTGTCGATTTTTTTTGGTCTTGGTTTGGATCCAGAATTTCTGTGTAAGTGTAGGTTTGTTTGTACTCACCATGTATTGAATCTACAGGGTAACCGCGGTAACCCAGGTCCCAACGGTCCCGCTGGCATCCCCGGCCCTCTCGGCCCACCTGGCCCCGCTGGTTCTGCCGGCAAGCAGGGAGATCGCGGTGATTCTGTAAGTTTAGTTTACCGACCACCATATCTCTTCTCCTCTTGACCATTGTCTCTGCATCCTTGTTTTTGTGTGCATGGAACCGTAGGGAGCAAACGGTAACGCTGGTCAGCCAGGCCCGGCCGGCCTGCCCGGTGCACAAGGTCCTCCTGGCCCGGCCGGTTCGCCCGGTTCGAACGGCGATCGTGGTAACTCCGTAAGTAGATGACAATTGAGTTGGCGCAACCGAAGCTCATTTCATCACGCGGCGGCAAAGAAACATCCGCGATGTCAACATCCACCTCCTCTACTCCAGTGTACAATAAAGACATACCCATGTGCTACATATACAGAACCATTAAGTTTTAACATTTACACATTTTTGTATTAGATTTAAAATCAATTGTCATTACTGCGACAAAATGCAGACTCCATTTTTCTGCGGCAAAAAAGTTTAACGTATATATTGCTCCTAACGTCGCAATTTCATATTTAGCTGCTATATAGTAGTACTGATTTGTGTTTGTTTTTTTCTTGTCATCAGTGATATGCTCCCTCCTAACTCATCTTTCTTTACATTGTCTAGGGTCCTCCCGGCCCATCTGGTCCTACTGGTGCCATGGGTCCACGTGGTCCTGCTGTAAGTATATCCATCTCTCCATACCGATCCATACCGAAAGAAATAGTACAAATTCATGATAGAATTTGGATTCGTCTTCATTGTTGCCAAACTCTGTGTGGTTAAGTCAATTTGAAGACCCCCAGCGAAGTAGGCGTTGGCTCCCCCAGCGACACATAGCAACCACCTTTGACCCCTAGTTTTCCAGATTTTCCCCATTGTTCGCTAATTGCCCCCTCCCCACCTAGTGTGAAAACTTCCCTAGAGGGGTGCCGCTGGCCCAGGTGAGATGTTACCTGGCACCCTGCAGGCGTGTGAAGGGCTGTATAACAGTACTGTCTGGCAAGGGAAGCAGGATGTGTATTGGATGTGATGTAACAGTGTTCCAGGCGTCAGAAAATAGTTTGAATGGCCGTCTGAATTTTTTGCTTGTATAGCTACATATAGTTAGTTGTATCAAGGACATTATACACAGATGTGTATAATGTCCTTGGTTGTATACAGCTTAGCTCAATGTATCGCCCCCAAAGTTCAGTTCCCGCCAATAGTACACCGACTATGGTACACTGGGATTTTGACTTAGTGTGACCAAAGACATTGTACAATTGTACAATTGTGTGTATAATGTCCTTGGTGTGACATTGACTTATATATGAATACCCTTACCATCATCACACCGACTGCATGCATGTACTTATGCCCTTCTGTTACAGTATTCATGTTTGTTCTTATCAAAGCTCCACTACTAAGTCTGGCCCAAAGGATTGCTTCTTCTAATTGAACTCTTTAAGAAGTAAACTTCTCTTGTAAACCCAGTTTCGTATAAAGGTAACATGGTAATCATGCTGCTAACTAGCTGTCACTTGCAAAATGGGAAATTTAACAGTTTTTTTAAATACAATTTAAAAAAAGAAAAAAGGTTTCTGTGCCACTTTTTCATTTGGTGATTTGGCCTTTCTTGTACTGAGGACATTATACTAGTACTTGGTGTACAGTCTTTACTGAATCCAAGGAAAATGCCTGAAATAATTTACATGTAACGCATGCGTTACCATTAATTTCCACAAAATAAAGACTGAATTCCCCATTTTTCAAGTGACTGGCATATGTGATTACTTTGTTTACATTGTTTTGCAAGAGTTATATTATATCCATGCTCAGAACACTAAGGACTGAAAAATGAATACTATAGTTCACATGATTTAACATTTTTCTTGTGTCTTGATCAAACAATTCCTCCAAATTGCTTTATGTGCATGAAACAATCATATAAATGTCTGCCAAATCAAGGAGGTTCTAGGGGGTTCTAACTACATGACCAAATTTATCTCATTTTGCTTGGATAAACCAAGAAGCTTCAATTTCAAACTGAAGCTCCTTTGATAAATAGTCTTAGTCTAACTTTTCTGGAAATTTCTGTATTGTGTACATGTATGTGTGCTGTGCTTGTTAATTGTCTCTTCAGATACTCCAGTGCTAAAAAGTGTCTATTGTACTTGTTTATCAACCCAAGCCAAACTGTCTGGCATGGCAGGTAAAGGTGTGAAGCAGCTGTGAATTTGCCTATTGTTTTCCTCAGGTAGTCTGGTACCCTGCTGTCAGGGTCTGAGTCAACAAACTAATTGGCCATATTGTCCCCTTATCCAAACAAAGAGATCATATGTCATCCTTGGAGTGACCAAAAGTTGCAATTTTGTCATATTTTTTTCTTCTCAAAGGCGGAAACATATACAATGTTCTTGTCATATGCAAAAGACATGTCTGAAAAGTAGACAAGTTGAATTTTAATGTTCAAGTGGTCCCAGGGTTGTGCACATTTCCAGTACATTGTATGGGATCTATGAATATTTCAATTATGCCATTTTTGGTAATATTTTGAACATATTAAAGAATATCTCTGCTATAATGATATTGGTAGATGTGGGACCACTTGAATATTATAGAGTGATCATTGCAGAATACATACATACCAAATTTGTGTCAAATACATGATTTTAGGGCTTCCGCCGGGAGCATAAAAGTGATAAAATTTAGCTCTGATTATCATATTCATATCTTTATATCAGTATGCTTTAATTGGAGTCTATATACTTAGAAAGTATCTTATGGACCCTATGTTTCATGTCTTGTTGTAAGTTCTGGAAGAAAATATCTCAGTTACAATATATTGAACATCAAAGTTGGGGGACCAGTTAATTAGCTAGAAAGGCTGAAAAGTGACTTAACTACACAGAGAAAGAATGATTCTGAACTTATGCACTCAAAAAACATGACACAGATACAATGTGATACATAGTATGCTAATTTCGTCGAAAGATGGCGTTGCCTTTGACTTAACCAACATGGCGATGTTTTCTCGTACGACTTACCACATTCCCTGACGTCTTGTTTTTTCCCAGGGTCCTTCTGGTGCTCCTGGTGCTAAGGGTGAGGCTGGAGAGGCCGGAGAGCGTGGTCCTAAGGGACACCGCGGTTTCGCTGGTCTGCAGGGTCTGCCCGGTCCCCCTGTGAGTAATGCACACTTGAAGCAGAAACACAACATTTGTCATTTAACCATTGACGTTTTCGAAGACACAAAAATACGATTCGTAAATTTCTTACTTCCGTTAGACGTATAAAAACCGTTAAGTCAAGTTAGACTGTTGCAGGAATCATTTTGGTAGTGGCGTTAGTTGTTATGTGAAGTTTTAAAATTGTCTAGCTATGTGAGCAATATGGACGATTATCTTGAGTTTCTGTAGTAGAAACTACTTTGTGCAGACTTTATGCTATGTGTAGAAGACCCACCTAACCTCTCGCACTCCCTTGTATCTTCCAGGGCCAGCCCGGTGACCAGGGTGCAACTGGTCCCGCCGGTCCCGCTGGACAGAGAGTAAGTGCCCATGATGAAGACATAGACTCATAAGCCAATTTTCTCCCACATCTTACAAGCACAATAGTCCTTGCATGGTACAGTTAGCGTTTCACGTACTACTCTCCAAACAAAGTACATTGTACAAACACATCAGGAAGTAAAGTTCACATTATGGGCATTTTATGTATCTAATCTAGCACGTTATTTAAAGAACGTAAGTACAAAATGGCTTTCATCGACTGTATTAGTTCGAAAAAGGAGTATTTCATCATTCCGTGTGATAATGCAACTATTCGTCCTTTAGTAGAACATACTGAGAACCGTTAGTGGATTAAAGATGCTCACCCATCTGTCCTGTAGGGTTCTCCCGGAGGTCGTGGTCCATCTGGTCCACCTGGTAACGATGGTAAGCCTGGTCCTGCTGGTATGATGGGTCCCCGTGGTCGTCCCGGAGAAGCTGGTCCCGCGGTAAGTCACTCCATCTACATCTCTTCTCCTAGGCGATCCCACCATCTCCACTAGCATTGTAAATAGGGCTGTGTACCCGGTATCTGTACCGATAAATATGGTAAGGTACAGGTCCAGACCTGAACGTCTGGTACGTAACAAACTAGAACACTTGTTGACACCATTTGTTTGAAAGATATGATCCCGTCTAAATTATGGCTATTTTGACTATTAAGCCCTATTTAAGATTAGAAGGTCTGCACCTGTACCTAAACCGTTGTACTTGTACCTGAAGTGTTTTAGGTACACAGCCCTACTTGTGAAGCCTTCCTAGAAGATGGGATCATTATTATAGTTACAAGCCTAGACGTAGATGATTCTTTTTATAATTACATGTAGTGGTTATGAATATATTTTAGCATTTAAGCATGACCAGATGTTTTTTCAATTTGTCGTAGAATTGTAGAAACGTCGTTGTACAACGTTACTGTAATCTGTAATCATGTTAAGTTTCCTTCTTTGTAGCGAACTTGGAAGAACATATTATGATGTATAGTTGTTCTGCTGGGGGAAAGTGTCTTTCGACTTTTAAGCCCCTGACCTCCTTGACCCTGACCTTGCATAACATACAAGAAATGTCCTGGGCAGGAGGTGCTTTTTAATGGGATTTAAGGGAGCGCCATGTCCTCTGTTTGTTATGTTGATCTTGGAAGGTTGTGTATCACTAACTAACTCACGTTACCATAGTTTCAGGCTGCACTTTATTAACGACTATCTCATACGCACAATTGCTTTGTATTTTACAGGCTTGACGGTGCTTACGTTTTGTTTGTTTTTGTTTGTTTGTTTGTCAGCGACATTAAGGACGTTGAACGATACTGTTTGTTTTACATAATGCTATTTTGTTCTTAATTCTTGTTTTGTAACCCACTGATTTTACCCGTTCTCCCAAGTAGAGTTGTTGTTCAAAGAACATGGCGACTCGACGCTCTTTATTTTAAATTGTAGCGTTTTTCTTCTAATAACTTTTCTTTTAACATTTCAGTTTAGTGTATAGAGTCCATTAATTTTACTGATCTACACAAAACAAAACGTAGATCCTCGAAGCGAAAGCAATACGGGAGAGTTAAACTTCCTAACTCAATGTCAAGTTGCTGTGCGATTTGGCGCATTGCAAGCTAAAACATTGAGTTAAGAGACCTGTCTGGCGCCGACTGCTAACATAAAACAGCCTTTTGATAACCACCTCCTAGTTACAGGCGTCCTCACTATCCGACGCTTACATAACTGATGGCATGACTACAACACAACCACCCAACCCCAGCTTTACGTACGTCCGTGTGTGTCGAAGGTACGTAACCTCGCCATAGCGTCGGGCAGCCTGACAGGGATATCTTTAACACTGAGCGCCCTCTATCCTAGGGTCCAGATGGTCCACGTGGTCCCCCTGGCCCGCCGGGTCCTCCAGGTCCGCCCGCAGCCCCCCTGGTTTTGCCACAAAGAAAAGTGACCCGACGCTTAAACCCCCAGACAGGACAATTCCAAGAGGTATGGTGATATACCGCGATTTCTTACTTTTGTACGTACGTAACATTTTACAGGGTATGCCCGGCCCCCCTGGTCCTCCCGGTCCCCCCGGACCCGCAGGCGATCCCGGTGGTTTCCCCGCCTCTGCATTCATGGGCCAACCTGCCAAGGGCCCAGATCCACTCAGAGGCTATTACAGAGTAGGTCTCCCCTTCGCTACTAAAGGATAAGGAACTTAACTTTCTAACAGCTTTCTGCTGTATTGGATAGTCATGAACATGTATTGTCGTACACGAGTGGTAAGTGGCATGTGAGTATTTCCATTTGCAAAAGCCCTAACATTCTCTTCGAAAAGTCACCTAACACCTTATTTTTAGAAATCGATTTCTGTAAGTATATTCACTCCATTTCCCTTTTTAAGATCCCCGCTTTCCCGTGCCCAACTTCTTGAGGTTAGATCTATGCATGTTGAACGGCAATAAGAGGGATCCAAATTTGTAGACAGCGCAGGAAGATAGCCCTGCAGCGGGAGTGGGGGCCACAACACGTCTCGGCAGAGATACTGCTCTTTATTGACGAAACAATGGATTTTATAGTAACGACGCTTTTGGGAATAGATTGTATGACAGAAGTAACTTGTTCTTGGCAGTATGTTTATACGCTTTTGTAGAATAAGCCAGGACTTGCCGCATTTGTAGAATTTGTACAAAGCCGAACTTTATAAGTGCATGGAAGTAAGCTAAGAAGTAAGCTAAGCTAAGACTATGAATAAGCATGGTGAGTGTTGCCTTTTGACTTACAATGATGGCGAGACAAGTTCTAATCGATATTTTCCCATCCTTACGTTCCCCAACTCGTAGGACGCCCCTGCAGTCGACATCGGCAAGGACACCAAGGTCAGCGACGCTCTGGAAGCCATCAGCGCACAGATCGAGTCTCTCAAGAAGCCAACTGGCACCAGGAAGAACCCAGCCAGGACCTGCCGCGATCTTGCTCTCTGCCACCCAACATGGCCATCTGGTGAGAACATCAATTAATATTTTATATACTAATATTTTATAAAACTCTCTGAAGAGATACTAGTGTAGACATTGACGATCTGGAAGTAGCTTTTCCTAGAACTCTCCCAGGCGATATATTGGTTTAGACATTATTGAAGGTCTGAAAGAAGCAGCTATGGTATCCTGGTGTTTAGTCTACCGCGGTTTGGGCGGGTGGCAACTACAGGCGTATCTTCAAGACAAGCAAATATAGAAACAACCATGGATGTCCGACGTAAGTTTAAAGCAAAAGCAGACCTTTTTAAAGAAGGTTCCGGAGAGGCCTGCCTTTTATCTGCTAACTTTGTACCGGAACCTATGCATGATTGATTGCTCTTCAGCTCTTATCTCTGTATCTGCATGACAAGTATTGTCCCTCACCTTTCAGGTAACTACTGGATCGATCCTAACCAAGGCTGCACTGTTGATGCTATCGAGGTGTGGTGCGACATGAAGACACTCGAGACCTGTGTCTACCCCAAGCCAGCCAAGGTGAGAGCAAATGAACACTGTTGTTGTTGTTGTCTTCTGTTGTTTTTGGTGGCATAAATCCTTCAATGACGTAGACTACTTTATGTAAAACAATTGGCAAGATATCGAACTACTTGCTTGTGCTTGTACTTGTTGAGGTCTTCTCTTTTTTTTCATAAGTAGCCTGTGTCAAGTAGTCTCACGTAGATATCAAACTAAGTGCTACTTTTTCTATTGGTAAGGCATACGCTCTGGAATGCTCGTTAACTTAAAATCCATCCTGCGTCTGTCCATTGCTAGCGTGCAGTCAAACCCAGTGTACTTTGCATGTGATCATTCAATAGAACGTACACGGTAATTGCATTTCATGTTTGGTGACGATTCCACGTGTATCGCCGCCAGGTACCGAAGGCATCCTGGTACAACGGCCCGGCCAAGCAACTCTGGTTCTCCGAGAGCATCAAGGGAGGCTACCAGTTCGGCTACACCGCCGACGACATCCAGATGCAGTTCCTGAGGTTGTCCAGTACCAGCGCCCGCCAGAACGTCACCTACCACTGCAAGAACTCTGTAGCGTACTTCGACGCTGCTGCATCCAACTACAAGAAGGCTCTTACGCTCATGGGCAACGGAGAGACAGAGCTGGGCGCCCAGGGGCCCAAGAAATACCAACTCTATGCAGTGCAAGACGGATGCCAGGTCAGTTACTTGATTTGTTCTCTTAACTGTGGTAATCTTCTTATCAGGTAGACTTAATAAGATAGGCAATGATGTGTGGAAGTTTGACACGATACAACATACAGCTTAACTGGCACAGCTTAAGTACGGCGACTTTCGTAAGGTCCACAACTAAGCATACAAACTAGTGGATACTACGTAAAAGTATATGAATAAGTCAACATGTTGAATTTGGCATGTCACTCTTACTGCTAGTAAACAGTCTTTGATATATTCAGCTATTTGTACATATATTCATATATAATTACACGTGAAACTCAACTTTCTTTTCTTCGTTGTATCTTTTTTTGCAGACCGCCACAGGGAAATGGTCGTCAACAGTCTTGGAATACAAAACAAAGAAGACAACGCGGCTGCCCTTCACCGACATTGCACCTTACGACATCGGCAGACCAGACCAAGAATTCGGCGTCGACATTGGCCCCGGTCTGCTTCAAGTAGAGAACTCACCAACATCTTATTTTTAACTGTTCTATTTTTGTATCGGAGCGCTTTTCTCATTTTTGGGTATTCTATCGGATCGCCAAGTTAGTGATTTCTAAAGTTATGGGAGGATTAGACACTCTGGGGCAGTCTTAACAATGGCGTAGATTTGTTTGTACAGTTAGGATAGAGAAGTGCCATGGAGTTGCTCTTGAGCCATGAATTAAACTTGCAAGGAAAGGATTAACTAAGGTGGTGTCACTTGGAAGGTAGCGAGTTGGTGCTATACAGTGCCGTGAGAGGCAGGCAGAAAGTCTATTTCATAGTTCAAGG